TTTGCCAGGAGATAGTTTCATAAGAGCAGCACATTGCTTTGGTTTTCAGTCTCCACAGTTTTCCAGAGCCGACACTGATCCAGGTCCACAACCTGCAGCGGCGGGAGAGCGAGGAACCTGTGCTTCTTCTTCTCGCAGTAGATTTAATTAGAAATCTTGTGAAGTATGCAGGTCATCCATCAGAGGCTGTCTGGACCCGGGCCTCCTCTCTCTGCTGCCTCTCCTCCCTGACGCGAACATATTGTACATGTGGAATCTGAGAATGATAAATGGAGCTGGAAACTGTGAGGCAGTCGAACGCCCCTGTCCCGCCCACGCGTCTTAATCTCAGCTCCTCGCAGCATCATCACAACCCTGGTTTGTGTCTTTCAGCTGCTGCAGGAAGGCAGCTGTTGGGGAGGAGGAGGAGGGGGGGGTGGAAATCACTTTTTCTTCTTCTTGAATAAACTCAGTTTTTTGTGTTTTGCTGATATTTGGATGCACATGGCAACAAATCGGCAAAGGTCAAACCTCTTCTGTAGGCTACCACCCCTGACTTTGGGCAGGACAGTGCATGGGAACCAGGATCACTCAGAGTTATTGCGATAAAACACTGGAGACTGATCTGTTTACACGACATGACAGCTCAGTGTTGTTCCCATGAACTAACTTTGAACTAGTTTTCTCTGTAGAGATTTCAGGAAATGAGATGGAAGAGGTCTCACATGGTCCAATCTTTCATCCAAAGTACATTTTGACGTGTTAAAATCAATTCTACCACGAAGTGAAATGACAAAGCTGAATGATTATCTTATATATATTATCTTAAACATTTTGTTTGATTCAGATTCTGTGCTAAACTTGTTATTATCATGTAGCTACATGATATGACATGTCATAATCTAGCTAGCTAGCCAACTTGCTAACTATCTTTCTACTGCTTCCAGGAAGTAGCCATATGCCTGCAGGCTAATGTCTGGTTGCTAGGCTAACTACGTGCTGTATAGATGGAAACATAAACATTAAATAGCCTACTGTTACACACTCATACACCACTGTATGACAAAGTAAAGCTAGCTTTAAAGGAGCTATATTATGGTTTTCTATGATTACATAGCTAACGCGTTAGCATTGAGCTTCAGTTATCACTGTCTTCACGACACAAGAGGTTTTAATGCATCCATTCAACAGCTACTTATTCAACCTGAATGCTACAGTGACTCGGAAAATAGCAACACATGCCAACAACCCCTGGCTAGCTGTTAGCATGCTAACTTAATCCAAGGAATTACATGATATAACATTACAGCAAAACAAAAGGGTTGCTCTCAGGGAATGGGAATTAAGTTTCTTTTACACCAGTAAATAAACAGCTGTTGATGATTTCATTGTGTTTTGGCAAAATAGTCAAAGCTGCACATCTGGGAACACCTGTGTGCTGCCTGTGAACCACTTTGATGGAGCATGGTTTAAGTTCCAGCAACATCACAGTACCAAACACTGTGACACAGAACAGTTTATTGGTTTAACGTGAGTCTGTCTTTGGCCAGATCTCTGCAATGGAGATCGTAGAGTTAGCCTGACACCGAGGCTTGAAATGTCCTGTACTGTAGCTAATTAGTGTGGAGCAGCAAACCCGACTTACTGTCCAGAAAAGGAAGGATTTCAGATCTTACATTAGATTAAAGCTTCTTATGTAATCTCATGCAGCCTTTACTATAAAAGTCGTGTTTCCAGGGCCTCCTCCAACAGGCCCTGAATCATTGTGTCACATCAGCCCAAGAGAGGTCTGATAAACTACTCCCAAGTGGCCTTCATGGAGGTATTTCCACATTACGGTCGATGGAGCTGATGGATTCGAGGCTGGAAGCTGTCGATGACGGCTCGTCTGATGGATGTCCAGCCCGACCATTACAGCTGGTTAAGTGAGACTCTGGTCTGGAAATGTAAATGGATCAGTCGTCTTACACTGGAAAGAGCCAGGGTCAATAATGATTGGTGATGTGCGTCCATGTTTTTGTCTCTTTGATGGGACTGCTTGTCTATAAGCTGTAATGGATCGTCATGACCAGTTAGAGATTTACCATTGTGAGCAGATGAATAGGTGCTTTTAACATTGAGTGGCCTGCATACGTCTTCAGAGAGGAACCTCATGAAGTCTGTGGGTGTCCTTCATATGACCAGCACACAAGGTTTTTCCTCTGTATGAACTGGGTCTGTCTGATTCTTCCTTCTTCATTCAACTGGTATCAAACTTTCAAACACACCAGTAGAAGATATTTGTGTTTTTGGTTGGAATCAGTGGAAGGTTTGCTCAGTCAGACGGTTTTTCAACTCTTTGTACTGGTTGGTTCGTCATGAAATCTAATCAATAGACATTCTTGATCCACAGAGGATGAACCCCACTGAGCCACCAAGCAGCTGTTACACTGACAGTTTCTGTTTATTGTGGAATGATAACCACTGCATAAATTACTGTAAGGTTGACACTGATCATGGTGCACAGAGGATACATTTACTTTGACGATCGCCGACATCATTTGTCTTGTTCCACAGGTCACGTATCACACCAGTGTTGGATCATCTATGTAGTAAACACATAGATTGGGAATTGATCCTTAAAATGACCCATCCTCTACATCTGTGGGACCACTGAGCTGCCTGTCCATGATAAATCCAGAGGCTCAAACCTTTGCCGATCAGCATGGCCTCATTTGGTCGCCTGCTTTTTTTTTTTTTTTAATGGACTTGTGTTTCCTTATTGAGTTACACTTACATGGATGACTGTTGGATGATATCATAAAAGCGGGCGGCTCCAGATGTTTAGCATGGCATCTGCACCGGCATTTCTGTGGCTTTACTTCACACAGAACAAATAATGGATCTGGTCTGGCTTTTGTCCCGCGCAGCACAGAGGTGGGTTATTTTCATCCTCACCTCGATCCTTCACAGGCATCGAACCTGCGCCAGCTCAACCTCTCACCTGGTACAAGTGTGAGACTGAACTCTTCTAACGTCCTCTCTGCTTTTGGACTCTTCGAAGTCTCACATGACAAAGGAGGTTTTAATTTGACGGCGGCACCCATCCTGCAGAGAGATGCGGTCATTGGTCAGAGAGTTACTCTGGACAAAGGCCCCGTGGAAACATTTCATTCTGTTCTCGGCCTCAGTTTTTGTCATTTTGGCAAAAGGGTGGATGGAGCTGGAGGAGGAGGGGGATGTGGTGGGGGGGGTGGTTGCGGGGGGGGGGCTGCAAATTCAAACATATTATGCTTTTCAACACAGTATTTCATAACACTGACATTTATGGCATGGCTATTTCCACACATGTCGGGGCGCTGAACAGTGAACAATGATGGATAAAGCTCACCGACTGCACCGAGCATGCGAAGGCTGTTTTCACTTTCCACCACCACAAAAGACCGGAGGAAGTTTGGTCGTTGCAGAGATGTTTGTTGTCTCAGAGCACAGAGGAGCGAGATGAAAAAAGTGTGAGCGACCAAATTCAACTGAAGACAGAGGGGAACAAAAGACAGGCAGCAGAAATGAAGGATTAAAGAAGGAAGATGATGTATGCAAGATTTTCACCCAACAGCTTCAGAGTAACTGTGATGGTTAATTGTTACAGGGGGAACGGAGGCTGTCTGCCTTCTACCTAGCATCTTTGGCCCGGTGACCCAGCTCTCGTCTCGGCACCAAGACACAAACACACCCTGTAATCTGTAATCTCTTGTTTATGACAGAAAAGACTACACACATCGTAACACATATGAAATATAATGTTATCCACCACTCCATAACACTCCGAAACAAATGCACGTGGCCATGTGGAGAGGGAGGAGGTCAGCAAAACAAGAGTGACCGGTGTTGTGCTGAAAAGATACCGTTTGCCCCTGTAACTCAAGAATGCAAGAGGTGACATTCACTGAATGAATTGTTCTTCCATCTGGTGTCTTCTACTGTTACTCCAGAGACTGCTCTGACTGTCGCCCCCTTGCAATCCTGAGCTACAGCGTGCAGTCACTTTTCTGCAGGGGCTTACCAAAAAGCAGACTGCTTGCTGAAAATCGACGACACCCGATATTACAGGGTGCAGTCACACCTGTCCAGACTTTCATAGTTCCCCTTCAATATAAAATCTGGTAGTCTGTAGCCTCTTGATGCTAAGCTAAGCTAACACAGAATTGAGATGGGTGTTAATGATCTCATCTCAGAGATCCCAGAAGAGTCAACTATTCCTCAGATCCTGGTGATTTCAACGGAAACCTGTAAAGTACCATCATTTGGATCTGGTGGATTTCAAAGTGAGTGCACATCAGGGCAAACGTCTGGCTGCTGCTGGAAACTTCAGGTTGAAACTATTTGCATGTGTTTTCACAAACTTCACATCACTCAAACTCTAGTTGACACGACAGTATGAGTTTCCATATTCAGTGTTTTGTGTTTTTGGCTTCGCTTCAGAAAAAAAAAAAAAAAAATCCTTCAAATGTTACATCTTCACATAAATGTCCGAACGCAATATGTGGTCAAACATCATTCCCAGAACCGTCTGGCTGACAGGACGTGTGCGGTGGTGGTGGTGGTGGTGGGTGGGGTGAGGTGGTGGGGGTGGGGGAGGTCGGGGAGGTTGCATGTGAATTTGAAAGCCAAGCCTCACCTGTAAAGCATTAAGTTTACTGGCGATCGATGCGTAATCTTTACTGAAGAAGCACAAAGCTCATGAAACACAGTGAATATCAGAAACATGAGCTGCAGCCTCTCTGTTTGGGAACCATTCAAATCTAAACATCTATTGTGTTTAATCCTTTTGTGTTCAGAGTTTAAAGCTCCACTCATGATGACAAAACACAGAAACATTTTATAGGAAATAACTTAATTATGTTTCTATCAACATAACGAGGACTCTGTGTCTTTTTAACCCTTGTTACCATGGCTACTGTCATAAAGTCAGAAATATGCTGATACTTCACACAGGAGATCTTCTCATTAATTCTCCTCTGCTTGGTTGAGCGGAGGATTGTGGCACAGTGGTACAGTGGTTAGCACCGTCATCTCACAGCAGGAAGGTTCTGGGTTTGATTCCCACGCCTGTGTCCAAAGAGGTGCACATTAAGTTAACTGACTGATGGTTGACAGCTGTCATTCATCCAGACTCCACCTCCTCCTCCTCCTACAGACCAATGAGATCTCACAAGAGTCCAGGTCCGTGGCTCATCACATGCTCACGTGTTAGAAAACTGAGCAGTCAAAAAGGGAAAAATATCGCAATATATATCGTCTTGTTGCTCCTGTATAGTGATACGTATCGTATCACCAGATTCTCACCAATACACGCTCCTGCTTCATATGGCTGTCCTTAAATTAGTGCTGAGCTGTTGGCACGAGTCTGTGCACACACCGCCTGTCGTTTGGTGTTTTACTCAGTCACTTGTTTATTTTTCATTCATAGAGCCAGAGCGCTGTGTGGGAACACACACACACACACACACAGTAATGGCCAGTTAGCAGACCTTGAGGAGATCACTGACCCCTCCTTTAATTAATATCCACAGTGAACACGTGTTGGGTACAACAGTGATCACTGTCTCTAACCTGATGATGAGCCCCCCAGAGGAGCAGTGAGCTCACTGCTGTTTTCATTAGTGAATAATGTTCTTGGATCTGATCGCCCACATTACAGAAGAGAGAGAGCCGTGTTTCCAAAACACATTAAAGCCTCTGACCGTCAGGTGTCGTGTGAACATCAGGTCACGGGTTAATTCTGGCCCATAATTGCCCCTCGTGAAGCTTCACCTCATCATGTTTCTCTCTTGGTGTTGGACCATCGTCCGTCTGTCTGTCCTGGACCTCGTCTCCCTCTCCTGACTCTCCGTGCCTCATTCCAGATGTGTTGGATCTGGATCTTCGTCCTCCAGGAGTCCCCTCCTCCTCCTCCTCCTCCTCCTCCTCCTCTTCCTCCTCCTGCTCTTCGTCTCCCTCTGTGTGTGTTTGTTTTCTCCTCCTGGACGTGTGAATGATGAGCTTGTATGTTTGTGTAGTCTGCCCTCTCTCCAGGTCTTCATGCTGGAGAGGAGGTCATGTGGTTCAGGCCTTCAGCTCTTCCTGACACTTCTTCCATTTTTATCCCATTAAGGAGTGGGGGGGGGTACCTCCTCATCTGATTCGTGGGTCTAAAGACAGATTGCAAAGCTTTTTGATTTGCGATGTAGAGCTACATAAACAAAGCGAATCGACTCCCACGGCGCCGTGACAAGGCCTCCAGAGATGAACCACTGCCGCCGCCGCCGCTCGGAAAATACCTATAGACAAAGATCCATTAAAGCTGGTGCTGAGTGGATCCTTGGAGAGGCTCAGGTTCACCCTGTAAAGTGATGATAAGTGAGTCAAGTGAAAGAGCCTCGTCTTAATACCACATGTGTTGCACAAGATTGTGCAAGGGTTATTAGTGATTCAGGCTGGAGGAAGAAACACTGCAGGACGCTGTATGGACGTTTGTTTTACTTCAGAAAATGTGCAGCAGCTGCTCAACTTGGCTGCTCGAATGTATATGTCTGTTTATAATGTGATTCCTTTAGGCTGAAAACAAACTGATAACACATCGACATCATGTATTTCGACGTCCATGCGGCGGCGTACACAACACGGTGCTCTCATGTTAAAGTGAGTCCTGTCAGACTAAACTATTTGGAACGAGGCTACATTTGCCGTGACAGTGATGTATTGCAGAATGTGGTGGAATGATGAGGGGGTAACTTGAGATTTCCCACACATGCAGACAGACATGCATTCACAAGCACCACTCTCACACACACACACACACACACACTACCTCCATATTTAATACCAGAGTGATTAGGTAATCCCGTGTGCCAGGCCTCTGTGGGGATGTTGCAGTTAACATAATACTGGACAGCCGGCGTATTGACGACCTGACGAAGTCTGTGAAAAGATTACAAAGTGCAGCTGAAGGCCGACGACCTGCTCTCACTGTCGATTAGAGCGGATCCAGGTCGAGTCGTCGCGATTTGTACCAAAGGTTTCATGTCGACAGCCGTGACTTCATCGCTCAGCGCTTGGCTCGAGCTGCGTCTCCAGCCAGTGCGAAAGAGTTTGGAGGAGGAACTGCATTTCACTGCTGGTGCTGAAGAATGTGGAGCGGTGTGGAGCTGCGTCGATCCAAGGTTCATAAAAGAGGAAAGAAAAAGAAACTCTCTGAGGGGAGGAATCTGAGCTCAGTCTTTAGTGGAAACTGCTAAATCAACATCTCATTGTGATTATTAATTAGAAAACTGAAAGGTCAGACATCCACATGTAGGTTTCTGACCTCAATTCAACATCCAGTTGAATGTTGATGATGAAGCTGATGATCACACATGGGAAAGACTCAGGCACAAGTGCTGCTGCTTAAAATAAAGTTCACTCATGTACAAGTAACATGTGCTCAGATATAAAGTGCAAGTGAGTCAATGTTACTGTGTTCTACTTTTAAAACAGGGTGAAAAATATGTATGGTGACAACAACAACAACAGCAACAACATATGATAAAGGTATTAAACCAACATCTTTAGGTCTCTTGATCCTCAGTGTTTTAGCTTTTAGCATTAGCCATACCCAGCATTCACCTGTTGGGTTCAGGACACTGGTGCTGCATCAGATTTCACTCTGTAATGATTCAGTCCAGTTTAGCAAAGAAAAATACTTAAGTTAATAAATACCAAAGTGTTTTTTAAATATACTCCAACAACAGTGAACTTCATCATGTCAGAGAAACGCTTCACTTTCTGCTTCTGCTGCCGTCGTCTGAAATCTGAGTTCTGCTGCGGTCACACCGGTGGTTTCCATGATGTGGGGCCTCATTACTTTCGGAGCCACAACCACTTTATTCCTGTGTTCGCTCTGACCTCAGAAGTTTCTTTGTGGTTCACCATGAGCCCAACGACAAATCCTCCTCTCTGAGAGTAAACTGGTGCTGAGCGTGGCTTCATTTACTACGTCTGAAACCAGACGACGTGTTCCCATGTGACAGAGGAGTCACTGTTTGATTGTTCAGCTTTGATCGGCAATTTTGTTGATAACACTGGAGTGGATCCAGATGTTTGTTCGCTCACGTCTGATCTGACACACAGTTCATGTGTGAAGTAGGAAGAAGAAAACAACAGAGTGGATTTGACTGAGAAACTTTAAACAAGGAGAGAAAATCATCACGACTGGTTCTGGTCACGACTGGTCACAGATCTGAAGGTGGTGAAGTGAGACAGGTCGGATAGACAGGAGAAGGAGAGCAAAAAGAAAAGGAGGAAAAAAATATAAAGTGACTTTAAGTGAGGAACCTGGAAGTGGACCAGTGTGAACCCAGGACTCCTGAGAGGAGAACCAGAATCCCTGGAGCAGGCGGACCTGTTCCTGCTCGGGCTCTGGTTGCTCTCTCTCCGGGTCAGAAGACACCTACTGGCAGAGGAGTCCCCTTTCAACTAGAACTCTCCTGGCTTCTCCCCTGTCTGACCTGAAGGTGTTCCTGTACCCTCTCTCCCTCTCTGCCCCAAACCACACATTCCCCTAACTGCCCGAGAACTTCGGACTCTGACTTGCAGTGCATTATGCAGCACACAGCCTGTTCAAGGCGGTGGACAGATACGTGGGTGGGCTCATTGTTTTTGGTTCTGAACGCTTCATCATCCATTAGCATAAAAAAACTTAAATGTATGTTTAATTTGTCACAAGTCCCTTTAATATGAGAAAGAAAGACACCTTAAATTTATGCTGTTGTCTGGTTATGTTTCTGTTGCAGCAACAAAGCGAGCAGCTGGGTTTTCTCTCCAAGTTTAAGTTAGATGCTTTGAAAATCTGACAGGTTGAACTGGACCGTAAACATTTGCCTGTCTGGTGCCCAACACTTGTTTTGTTTGGAGAGGCTTCTACGCTGCAAGCTCATTGATCATCTGTTACAGTAAGGAGGTATCAGTGTGGCTAATACAACAGCTAGCTTAGCCGTGCTAGCTGCACACAAACCCTGCAGCTCTGTGAACTCATTAGTGAGCGGCCCATTGCCTAAAACCACATATGGATAAAACAACTTTGGAGTTAGCCTAACGCCCACAGCCGCTGTGCCAAGCTAACCTGTCCCCAAGCAGTCTGACACACACAAGACTTCCCAGAAACCACAATATAATCTTCACGCCCGTGAACGATAATCCAAACAGTGACTTTATTTCTTTTTTCTTTTTTCTTTTCCCTCTCCAGGTTTGGCTCGGCTCTGTCGGGTCAGGAGCTTCGTTCCAGGCAGGTTCTCACCTCCTGTACATGTGGTTTACATTTTTTTAACCATGAAATGTTAAAAATTTGATTAAACTTGTGCAAGAATTTCAGCGCAGTATGGAAAAACCAGCTGCTGTGGTCAAACCTAACTGTGTATGGTTCTACTTTGGACCCAGTTCAGTTCCCATCCCAGCTGAGTAAGTGGTCCAGTGTGTGGCATGAGGCGGCTTTGAAGACGTCAGTGATTAATGGTCTTGTGTGAGAAAGTCTTCTGTTACGTCACTCTCTTGTTTCTCTCTCCCAGAGCGACACCTGATACCTTGTCAAACCAAAAAGATCATGTCACCAACATCAGAGTCTGGTGTTTCATATGTTTCAGATCTTTGATCCAGCGCTGTCACACTGAAAACAGACTCTGTGGATAGCATGAGAACACCCGTCATAAAAATGGACTTTTACTGCTGCTTGTGCGTATGCAAGGCTTGACCACATGTTTTCCTTGCTCCACTGTGTTGTTAAATGCTATGACACACACACACACACACACACACACACACACGCTCATGGTATGAGCGTTGCTGTACTGTGTGTGTGTGTCCCTCTAGAAAGCATTACGTAATACAACTCAGCCCTGTGATTTAGGTGCTCATACCAAAATGTTCCCAGTTTTTTTGGGTAAAGCAGAGAAGAAGAAGGTCATGATGAATGGGACTGATATTAACCACAACAATATCTGAGGAGAGGACCAGGGGGTTGTTTGGCCGTTTGGTGGCTGAGGTTCATAATCCTGCTTTGTCAGTAACAGAGGATCTGCGGATGGTTAGAGGCTGCAGTCACTGA